CCGGCATCAGCTGTAGGTTCTTCTCCAGTTCATCAATCACAGCCCTTCCTCCGGCATGTATGCAGAAATGATCGAAAGCCAGCTTGAAGTCCGGAATGTATGGCTTCACCTTTGAAATGATCTCACTTAATTTTGAGATCTGCGTCCTCTTGTTTATCATTCCAAAACACTGTTTACGAGTAAACAACCACAGGAAAGGAAGAATAATTTGAGAATATTCTATTTTTTCATTCCTTTTCAGCAATCAAACAGACCCTAAGGTTCCAGCTGGGATGTGCCTATGAGGTGTATTGTGTGCGGAGCAGATTCCATTGTAAGACTTATACCCGTTTGGGAGGAATTTCGGGAATTGGCTTTTGAGTTTTTGAGCTGCCCCCCAGTCCCCCAGTCCCCACCACACAGGTCTGAAGCTTCATTTGCCATTCGGTGATTTTTGGCATGGTTTTTAAAAATGAACCGGTGATCGAATCGGTCAAGGGTCCAATTACCGGTTTGAATAGTCCAATCGTTCAACCCAAACAGTCAGCTCGTTCTGAAAAAAAATTAAAAAACAGAAAATGGTCAAAAACCGTTCGAACGGTTAACCGGCTGGTTCAGCGGTTTGTTGACCAAAATCAACGGTTTTGGGGGGAAAAGCAGGTTTGGGGGAAAACGGAACTGACCGGTTCCAAAGCCATGATTTTTGGTATCATTTATACCATTTGCCATGTAAGTCGATTTTTTTGATAGCGGCTTTGAATGTGTTTGGTACTGATTCTCATGGGTATATTATTTTTGCATTTGAGTTATTATTCAATGTCATGTTGGATATAATGTCATCTTCAAACAATTGTAATTAGTTAGAAATTACCAAATCACCAAAACAGCTCAATCAAACAGAAATTTCAACACCAATTCCTCTAGCGCTAACATGGCTCCAACATGGTAGTGATTTTTAAGAAATCAGCATCGATGCCAAATATCCCTAAAAACAAGTTTGGATTTAATTCTCACAAAACCTATTTTTACACCGTGCCCTCACAACCCTTACAACCATGCATTGGGAATATTTCCCCTACATAAAAACATGGGAAAATTTTCCTGATTAATACCTTGTACTTTGGGCCTAGTGCCATTTTGGTCCCCAAGCTTTAAAACGTAACAATTCAATACTTACCTAAGCTTTCGAAATGTGCCAATCCAGTACTTGCCGT